GGGAGGGAGGGAGGGAGGGAGGGAGGGAGGAAGGAAGGATCAATCTATGGTGTCAGAAATCAGGATGGTGTTATCTTTGCAGAGGAGGGAGGGGACCCATCACAGGGGCAGTAGGGGACACGGGCTACGTTCTCTTTCTCCACCCGGGGATGGTTACAGGGATGTGTTCACCCCAGGATAACACACCGAACCGCATGCTTCTTCATTTGCAATCTTCCATATGTGGAACTGCAACAAAGCTTCAAAAAAAAGTTTCATATTTTGATTTCCATTTCTGAGAGGAAGTCAATGGAGGGACTAACAGAAAATAGTACAGAATCTCATTATTAAAATCGATCAGTGACTTGCTTTACCTGGGTTCAGTTTGCTGTCCTGAGGTCAGAGCAGAAGATGGAAAGAAACCGTGGGTATGATCATAGGTCAGTGGGGCTGGGGAGAAGAGACTGCCAGAGAAATGAATAAACCCGGGACCCTCTGCAGTTTAGCTGAGAGGTGAGGAATGCACAAGTGAAAAAAGAAAGAAATTAAAGGCTCAATGTATAAACTAATGGCATTAATGAAGGACCCCGGGGGAGTCTCATATATTTCTAGCCTTATCATATAAAGCAGAATTAAAAGGTAACAAATTTCGGCCGTCTACAAGGAAATAAATACTTTCTTGCGAAATGTATAATTAACCTCTACCCAATGGTTTAGTCAAATCCCACTCCTCCCTCAAAGAAAAAAAAAAAGATTAGCTATTTATAGCAGCCGAACCAGCATCCGCAGTTACACTGACTAATATTGTGTTACAAAGTCGCCCCTGCTTCCAGGCAAAAACAGATAGCCAGCTGGGGTCAGGAAGGAAGTTCCCCCTTTGGTGTAGTACCTCACCGCTCTGTCATCTCCGAGTGAACCATCCAGGCGGTGCCTGGCGTGTGCACCCCGGTTCCTGGCACCTGGCTCTGGGATCCCGGTGGCTGCACACAAACCAGCTATTGTCTCCCTCCTGGATGACAACACCTGTAGCCCGTATTTAGACAACACCTTGTGTTTCCAAAAGGTAAACACAAGGAATATAATCAAATTGTTCCTAACACTACTGTTTTTACATCAACAGTCTATAAATATATGGAAGAACTCAATATATGTGTGAAATAAACAAGGCAGGGATGCCTCCACGGAGGTAATTCAAAAGACAGCTCAGTAATTTAGCAGCTTGGGTTTTCAATTGTTGTAGTTTTCGGCACAAAACACATAGATATTATTCATCAAAGTGATTGTCCTGCACACTTGTATACCTTCTATAATTTATTTATTTCAGGGCTTTTTACTTCAAAGAAATCACTAGCTAATGACATTTCAGACTTTAGAAATTTTTCTGATAGCACGCTGGAATTCCCTCAGGGACAGGGTTGTGAATAAGTGGATTTTTTTTTTTAAAGATCATTAACGGATATTACAAACCAATTCAAACTGAGCATTTTCTTTGGAAATTATCTTTAACTTTTAAAGCCATTGGAAAAAAAAAAAGGCAGTGAGTGATTTAATTTACTCAACCTGTCTACAAATTGCCGCTTTGCACTTCAGCGGTGATTGCATTTTTCAACCCAAAAAACATCTCTAACTGTCTCTAATAGAGATATTTTTCTAAATTATCACACTCAATGAGTGATATTTCAAAAGATGGTAGGGTTTCATTTTTTATCATTTAGCAAGTTGCCCTGGAATGGAGATATCTCTTTTTTTTCTTTTTTTTCTTTTTTTTTTTTTTGATTAATATGGTTAAAGCCAAAAGAGCCCTGCACTGTCTATATCTGTTGCTTAATTAAAACTCTCAGGTAATTAGCAGGTTTATCATTTTCTGAGCAAATGGACGGTGGGCTTTGGTGGTAGGCTGCGGGGGTTTTGAGGTGGGGAGGGTCTCTTTTATTTAATGATCAAACTGTAGTTTCTGGGCTAAAAAGCTAATACTTGGGGTGGGAAGCACCCTTACTCTCCCGCGTACATCAGGCCTGATTCCTACTTCCATCACACCCCCCGTTGTGTGTGTTTTCCATTCAAAGAGCTCCCGGGGACTTCAAACGGGGTTGCCTGCAAGCACGGGCTATGTGGGAGTCCTGAGCATCTCCAGAGCAGGCCCGGAGCCGGGAGAAATCATGCCAAGGCTGGCTCACGCTCGAGCTCCCAAACCACGCCACAAAATTAGAGGGTGTCCCCTGCCTACACCACCCCACAGTGCATGGGGGACTGTCCCCAGGCTTGCCAAGCGCTGTGCTGGCTTCTCAGGCTACTCCTTATAAATATTTGATGAGCAGTGCACTATTTATGACAGGATGTTAATAAGAATATTCTTTGAAATTGGAGTCCAAGGTAGGTTTAAAAGGGATCATTGTTTGAGGGACCGCAGGGTTTTTTTTTTCCCCCATTTAAAGTGCAAAATCCATTTACCACAAACCAAACAAAGGACTCCTGCACCTTTTTGGATGTCCCATCAGCATAAAATGGATCGGGGTCTACTATGAAGGATGTTCTGTTTTGGGAAGGGTTCATTACATTATTGAAGATAAAGAAACATAAAAACTAATATTTCGCGTGTCCCGTGTGCCACATATTTTAATTCTCCTCTTTGCGTCCTCGCCAAAATATTATGCTTGTGTTAGATTGCACGATCCCTCTTCTAAAGATGGAAAAACTGGGCCTCACAGAGATCCTACAAATTGTCCACTCCGAGTCCCACAACGGTCCGTGCAGAGCTGGTCTGGAACCCAGATCTTCCCAACCCCACAGCCCTTGTCTGTTTCTCCACCTGACACCAACTCCCAGATGTCAGCCAGTTTCAGATGTCATGCTCACCTCTTCCAGCAGCTGCCATTCTCCAGAGCTGGAACTCAGAGCTGATGAGTTCCATCCAGTCAGGCTCAGGCAGGGAGCGCTGTAGCCCACGTGCCGATGATTAAGTTGCAAAAGAAAAGTTTGGCCCCAAAGAGTTCCCAGTGGGATCCTGCCAGGAAGTGTGGAACCCAAGGTGGCCAGAGAGCTACACGAGCCTGTCTGAGTGCCACATGTGTGTCCCCCCAAAAGCGGGTGCACCCAGATGGACCTCAGACAACAGGGGTGGTCCTAGCCATCATTGCCAACTCCCTGGGAGACAAGTTCAAGGAGCAGGAGGGGAACAGGCAAGGACTCCAGGAGGACAGAGGACCCAGATGCTAATTTGTAGAAGCAGCATGTCCACAGTCATCACAGCCCACATTGTTAAGTGTTGGGACAGGAGGAGGAAGCTGGACCGTCCATTGATCTCCCTGGCTGCTCCCAAGTCTCAAGATGTGGGAGCCCTGGTGAGGTCCGAGATGTGGATACTCGGTGGTCAGAGAGTGAGATCGGGGGCTGAGCCTGTCTACCTGGTGGGAAGACACAGATCGGGGGCCTGGCTGCCCCACAGAGTAATAGGAACCCCCTGACCACCCACAGGCTCCTTCCTGTTCCCTGCAGCAGGAGCCCCCGGGAGCCAAGGAAAAGAGCCCAAGCAACTCCCTGAGGTCACTGTGGCCATCACTGTCCCTGGGCTCACGGAAAGGTCACCAGAACAGAGACAAAGGTCCCAGGAACTGCGCACAGGGAGGTGGCTTTGCCGAGCGTCTTCCACTTCTCCGAGGCTGTCTCCTCATCTGGGCGATGGGCGATGGTAAAGACTAGGACCCCACTTCTGAATGTTCTTCATACAGTCCCTGGTGTGGAGACAGAGTCTCGTTAACCTTTCCTTTAATTTCAGGCATGTTTCTTAAGCTCAGACATTTTATTCTCATCACTGTAGCTTGGTCTTCTTGTGAAAAGAAATCTAAATGGGAGTGATTGTTCATGTAATAGAAACTACTGCATATAAAACAGATAAACAGCAAGGTCCTGGTGTACAGCACAGGGAACTATCTATATTCAATATCTTGTAATAACCTATAATGAAAAAGAATATGAAAAGGAATATACATGTATGTGCATAACTGAATCACTATGCTGTACACCAGAAACTAACACAACATTGTAAATCGACTATGCTTCAATAAAAAAAATAGAATGAAATGAAACAGGATGTTTTCCAAGCACGAAACATCAATTTGTTTATTTGCATTCACTCAAGAAATCTTTACACACACCAAGCTGAGGTTTCAGTCAGGCGTTGTGATTTTGGATTTCTAAGAACACTTTACCTTGCCTTTGCATTTAGGATAAAAATCAAACTTCAAAACATGAACCACGTTTGAGCCCAGGCATGACCTGGCGGCCTCCCAGACCTCAGCTCGACCAGCTCACGGCTCTCCCGTCACTCTGGGGAGAGGCTGAGCTGAGTCCCACCACCTCTGGGGTCTGCTGTCCCTCCTCTGCTGGCCCATCTCCTCATTCTTAAATGTGCTCTCCTCAGAAAGACCTTGTGTTGCCTTGGGATCCAAAATTCCCAGCCTTGATCGGCACCCCTGTTTCCACTTCCCTCAGAGCATCGTTTCCATGTGTGATGCACTCTGTTTGCTTGGTCCCTTGTGTGCCGTCCATCTCCTGAACTCAGCTGAGCCTCTAGAGAGTCAGAGATCATCTCAGTCTACCCCCTACCTTGTCCCCAGGCCCCAGCACAGTGCCTGGCACACCAGGGACACAGGAAATGGTGTTGCCTTAAGGCAGGTCTACCTGGTGCGAAACAACATAACACCCCAGGCAGACATTTGCAGACACATGGATGGACCTGGAGATCATCATTCTAAGTAAAATAAGCCAGAAAGAAAAAGAAATATACCATATGATATCACTTATATGTGGAATCTAAAAAAAAGAAAAGAAAAAAGATGACGCTAATGAACTCATCTACAAAACAGAAACAGACTCACAGACATAGTAAACAAACTTATGGTTACCAGGGGGAAAGAGGTAGGAAGGGATAAATTGGAAGCTCAAGATTTGCAGATACTAGCTGTATTTCAAATAGATGAACAAGTTTCTTCTGTCTAGCACAGGGAACTGTATTCAATACCTTGTAGTAACCTATAATGAAAAAGAATATGAAAAGGAACATATGTATGACTGAATCACTATGCTGTACACTAGAAATTGACACAACATTGTAAACTAACTAGGTTCAATTGAAAAAAAAAAAAAAGGTCTCTACCTTGTGTCATCAGCTGCACGGGCTGCCCTTGAACTGAAGGAGGGAGGATCTCATGTTTCCTCCTGCACATGCTCAAGTTCTTTCCCCTGCAATTAATCCCTGCCTCCTCCCTGCCAGGTGGCAACATCCATCTGATCTGGAAGGAAGGCCAGTGTTTACTCCCAGCCTGGGAACGTCTTACCTGTTCTCAGGGTCCTGTGCGCCAAGAAGGCAAGGCTTCCCCGTCATCTAAGTGTGAGGTGGCGATGAGCTCAGTATCCTGCGGGGCCCAAGTGTGCTCTCAGGGGCTCCCTGGGGCTCCTCTGTCCTAGTCAGCACGGAGGCCAGTGACAGCCCAGAACTCAGCTCCGGTCACCTGGTGAGTTGCAGACTCCTGCTGCAGGGTGGAGTGTTGCAATTTTGTTTCCTTATTAGATCATTTTCAAAGTAGAGAAAGTATATAGTTGTAACAAGTGAATATGCAGTTGTAACAAGTGAAACAACACTTAGAAATGTGAATAAAAACAAACATAATTGTTTCTCCTCATCCCGACTCACTACCACTCTCCGGAAATGACCATGGGCAGGCTTATGCCTACATTCATGTGTTATATGTGTAACTGTACAATGCATATAATATAGTTATATTAATACATAGCTATATTATATATAATTTTACAGAAGTGGGGTCTACACACTGGGGGAATTTTAGTGCAGAATCCTGTCTTCAAAGGATTACTTCTTATCTATGTATATGGTTTGCCTGTCTTAAGCATGGCTACTCCAAGTACTTCCTGGAAAGCACAGGTGTATTCTGGTCAGAGGACCACACCTGTGTGCGGCAGATTCCATCTCCCTTTTTGTTCTCAAACACACCTGCCTTGGTCGCACTGGAATGCAGGGGAGTACCCAGAGGGGCGGCACTGCTGGTGTTTTCTCAGTTGCTGGTTTGGGGACATTGGGGAAGATGCCTGCCCCAACACCCCCCGCCCTGGGGGGAACTCAGACCAGCCCAGAGCAGGGTCTCAATTTCCTGTTGCTCCCTGGTCCCTTCTGC